ATTGATGATCTTTGAATATTGATTAACTGATTAATTGAAATATGCGTTGTAACGAAGCGCGAAGCTTCTACTTTCGCCTTCCATAAGCCATTTCTTGCTACTCAGTAACCCTTTTTTAATAGGCCGAAACGATCTGGCTTCCCTAATCCTATAGAGAAAGATATATCGGCGACAAGTAAATCGACGAGTGAAATATGAGGCTATCGAAGCGTTAAGCTGTGGTGACGTAAAAAGCGGTAAGTGATAGAGCAGCAAGCGATAGAACGTTAGCGATATAGTGAAAAATCGGGTAACTGCACAGCAGAGCGAAATAAATGGAACTTATGATCTTGTACACATGATTTTTGTGCCTTTTGTATAATTTCTATCTCTGAAATGTTACCATTTCGAACTTATCGCTAAGCGCTTCGTCGTTTACGAGCGGAAGTTTGCGGGACGCTCGAGTCGCAGTCAATTAATAACCTCCGACCAGTTGATTTAATTAATCTGCAATCTACCTGCACTCGTCCATGTTTTAAATACTATACGGACAACCAGAAACATCAACATTTCTGGTTCGATCCAAAAACAGGGGTAAAGGGTCTATTTTTGTTGAACGAAACCCAAGCATATTAAAAATTAAAAAATAATTGTTTACTAAACCAATGGAGTGAAATGAAGTTACATTCGTAGAAAACACCCGATGAGCTGAAAATTGGACACTTTGACCGGTGAAGCAACTGGTTTAACCCCATTTTTCCGTTTCCATGATTCCCATGTAATTCAAACTTCTCGATACTTTTTACGACTATCTTTAGCTCTAGAAACCAGAAGAAATGATAATTGAATAATAAAACGAAAATAAGGGCACTGGAATTATTTCAAGAATTACCGCTTCATGAACCATTATAAAGTGCAAATACGTGTAATAAAGAGTCGATTAGTAGAACATTGCTAAACTTAAAAGTTAAGCGTTAAATGGATACCGTTAGAAAAACTAAACTGCGAACGAGTAAAAGATAACCGACTTCTTCGAAACGAAACGCAACACCTAACTCGGATCGAGAAAAATGCGATGTTCCGTGAGAAAATGATCTCCGAATGATCGAAAAATTGTTCGGCACGAAGGCGGACCGGTTCACAGGCGCCAGATTCACGGGGAAACCGATGCCCGTGGTACGGATCGCGAATTAATCTCGGAATGGACTTCCAGATTGCTAGATTATTAAAACATTAGCCGCATAATGGTCCGCATCCGACGAACTTTCCATCGGTCGTGCCGCGAATGATTTCACAGTCGCCAGGCCCCGTGAGTAGGAGGTATCGAATCAGGTCTTTGTTCTGCCTTAATGAATAATTAATTGCCGATTGTAGTCTTCGTGCGCTTAATAGCCGGTTTAAGAGATTCTCAAGCCAACAAAATAGGAATCAAACGATTTCCTTTGCCTAATTTGTGCACCGAAAGACACGTGTACTTTACATTTGGATTCATATAAAGCGTGACAGCGTAGAACACGTCTAAACGTCGGTCAGCGACCATGAAAATTTTCGCCACGATTCAGCTATTACTTACAACAATTTCAAGTGTGAAATAGAACAGGTGTCCCATGGAAAAAGACCAATCACGCGCAGATCAATATCGAAAGTTGTATAGGCTTCAAACTATTCAAGCTAAGACCCTAAAATAGGGAATAAAGTAATTGATAAGAGCCGAAAGACCTTTCCGATATTTTCTATGTAAATCAAAAAATAATTTTGGCTGTTGGATACGAAGAGGAAAGCTCTTCGCAGGAATCTTATCAAATGGTCAAACCTCACATCACTATTTCGGATAAAACCCCAAAATGAGTAATAAAGTAATTTCATAAGAATCCGAAGATCTTTACAATATTTTCAGTATAGACAAAGAAACGATTTTGGCTTTCTTGAACATAAGGGAGAGGATTCTGCAAAAATTTCCTGGAATCAGTTAACCGATTTGTGTATAATTACATGGATACTTACTCTTCCGAGACAGAGAATCGTTACACCCACGTTTACGTGTTCAATTGCTCCTCGTATTTTCTAGTCGATACTTTATATTTTCTTTTACAGGCCATATCATCGACGACTAACCGGAAAAAACGGGTTTGTATCATAACGCATAGGCATAAACGACAGGTGTAGTAAAGTTGGAGAACAGCACGGAGGAAAGCACCATAAAGCAAGTGCCTTTTATCCGCAACGTGTTTGCCACGCGTAAACCAGTTCCCGCGTGTTTATCGCCGACGATACGTGCTAGAAAGAAAAATACGAGGCTATCGAGGAAAATCAAAGAATCACGGAAATGCGCGCGCAATCGTGCGCTATTCGTCTCCATTTCGTCGAAATGAATGGCTGTTTCGGGCGCGTTACGTTTTGCTTGATGTTTCCGGTACACCCAGACCGCGATGAAATAAAATTATTAACAGCGACGATAACAACGATCGCCGAGGAATCCGTTAATGAGATGCAACAAATTCAGAATCTGTCCTAACCGGTTAAGAAGGTATTCCCAGGTTCGCCAATTTCAAACGATTCGTAAAATAATCTTCATCTAAGTAAAGGTGGTTTTCTTGTACACTAAAATTACGATAATATCGACAATAACGCCGCGGAGACAATTATAAGTGAACGCGATAAATACACGTGTCTCTTAGTATCATTCAATTTGTCATTGAATTACAATTCAATTATGCCTTGTATGAATTATCACGGTCCATCCGTTTTCAGACGACAAACTTACCAACGAAATGTCCCGTCCACGAAAAACGTTTCTGCTGGGAGTATTAACACGTTGAGTGCAGCGCCGATTTTGCTATACTTTCCGCTCAGGGGGCAGCGCGTGAGCATTTGATGCCGAACGCTAAACTAGATCGCGATACAAGTAGACGTATTCACAAATTTCAAAGGAAGGAAGGAAAGGCGCATAAGATTCGAAAATATTGTGCTGAATGTTACAGCACAAACACAAAAATGTTCGGACGCCAGGTAGCGAGGAAAATCACAAAGAAAGTTGTTACATACTGTAATGTGTGCAGATCTCAGCCACATCTTTGCTTAAAATGTTTTAATATACTTCACTAAATTTTAACATAAATTTTTTAATTGTCATTAATAATTTAACCCTTTAAGATACCGGTCTCATGCACCGATGTCAACCAAACGAGAAGTTCGCTATCAGTCCCTAGAATCCACGCCGCCCAAACGAAAAGTCTATTGTCAGTCCCCAGGGACTGACGCCGCTTGAACGGAAAGTTCACTGTCAGTCCCTAGGGACTGACGTAGCATTCAACGTGTTAAGCATTCGAAGGGTTAAACGTTGTCACGTCCACTTTTTAACGTTATCTAAACGAGTTAATGATTTAACAGCGTATAGCTTACTCAGATCTATTCAATAACCGTTAAAAATGGTATACGTGTATGAAGAGACACGTGTAGTCGATGCTTTTCAGCAAAAATGAATAAAACAGGGAAAAAATGAACAAACAAGGATGAGAAAAAATTGATTTTTTCAATACGTGTCGATCGGTTGATTCGCGTTGTTTTAAAATACACGGTTCCAATTTCCCGCGGGCAGGGGGAATAAAGGACAAACGTCACCGCGGCCGCGTATGTAGAAATTTAGAACGCGGAGGGCACAAAGCATTCCGTTCTGTTCATTTTTAATGAAGTAACGGTGCCGAAAACCTCAAATTATCTCCGTGAAGTTGAGCGGAAGTGCTTAGTCTCCCTGGGAGGCGAGCGAGCTCATTGTGGAATAATCGGTCGGACGACGGTCGCGTTCCACTTTTCGGCAGCTCGGACTCCTCTCCGCGTATCCGCCGGAAGCGCCGGTTCGCGTTTCGTTCGACGATTGCTCTCGAAAGCTTCCGTTCTCCAATCGACGACGAACGGGACCCGTAATTTCGTTGTACCTGATCCTAGCCCGCGCGGGACGCCGAAGCGGGGATCGTCACGAGCGCCGCGCACTGGCCTAGAGTGTGCAATTAACCCATTTGCATCCGCGGACGGAATAATCTGCGACAGACGGCCGCCACGCGTGACCAAACGCGAAATAATCTGCGACCTACGTAAATACAAGTGAACTCCCTACTGTTAACACTTTGACTGCCACCGGGCGGTCACCGATGACCGGAGCTTTCAAATGACAAGAAAATAATTATAACTTGGAAGATAATTGATTTCGAATACTAATTTTCCATAACGCAAATTACTAGATAATAGGGTAATGTAAGAATTTTCGTATTAAAGAATTAATAATTCTTGCTTTGTATTTTTGCAGTAGAAAGGATGAGTGATACATAAAACACTGATGTCTCTCGTGGCAGTCAACGTGTTAAACCATTTGCATCACACCTCGAAATACGCTACAAACTTAACCCTTTGTACTTGGCAGTTTTTCACTAGAAACATTTTAACATTTGATGATGCGAGATAAAGACGATATTTTTTGTGAAATTAACTCGGAGAGAAATCACGTGTACATCGAGGGACAAAGCTATTTTATTTCAATGTTTCTCAAATCGATGCATTATACGTGGTATAATATTAAATATCAAATTTTATATTTTTACTATATGAAATCAAGTGGTGAGTGAGAGTCACCTCAAGTGCAAAGGATTAATACACCCAAGACATTTGACACGTTAAGCGCCACGCAAATCTTCACCATTTTTCTGTGCAGTTATCCTTTTTAGCAAAGAGAAGTAGCAACAATTATTCACTATTTGGTGTTACAATCTTTGCATTACACGATTATCAACTTAGGTACGTTATTAACACGTTCGATACCAACGTCATATATTTGCGACGGCCGTAATCTTATATTTTACAGAATGAAAATGAATTAATCCTATGAATATTGTTATTAGAAATTATAAACTACGAGATTATATTTAGGAACTCAATGACTCAAATCAGTTTCATTTTTCTAATATTTTGTTTAGAAGATTTATTGGATGGAAAAAAATATTATAATTGAGGAGACCGTCGCCGAAAAAAGCGCTGCTAGCGAACGTGTTAAATTGTTTTCAAGTAATTCAGAAGCGTCAGTCATCAGTGACTGACATGGCATTTAACGTGTTAACTGACAGTCAGCCCGTATCCCGCGCGTCGATGACCATTTTATTTTTTACAAAAATGTCTTCACTCTTCTCTTCGTAAATGGTAAAACGCTGAAGAGGTTTTTCGCGTAAATAAATTCATCGAACGTGATCGTTGAACGTTGAAGTGACGGGTATTCGACTCGAATTCCTTAGGAAATTCCCTGCGACAGTGCCGACACCTGGAAATGGATTGAAAACCTGGAGTTCGTGCCTTAACTTCGTTTATTTACACGCAAATATATTATATGTATACGTATGTGTATATATATATTTATATATTTATATATATATATCACTGTTATATTGCTATAACCCTTGAGATTTACACGTACAAACTATGCTCCCGTAAACTCGTCGCCCTCGTCAACGCGACCCCATCGAAGTTGTCCGAGCCAGACGTTTCCACCGTCTCTCCCATCCTCTTCTGCGTTTCTCTCGTCTAATAATCATCGTGTTGACAATGCTTGGATCGATCTCCACCGGTAATATCCCAACGACGCTTTAATCTCGGAACATTCAGCGCACACAGCGATCAGAAGAAAAAACGAACGCGAAGAAACAAGGAAACATCAATGGAAGAAACAATGAGAAACAGAAGAACGGAAACGTCGCGAAATTAACACGTTGAATTGGAAATTATAATATCGGATTATCAGATTGAGCTACTCAACTGCTTTACGTTGCATCGTTCCTTTTTCTTTTTCATTTTTAAATTAAGTTGATTCGCACTCAATTCACTATTTTAACACGTTCACGAGCACGCGTCGCGTAAATAAGTACTTTTGTGAGGCAGCGATTCGTTTAAAGAATTCAGTTAATTACCGTTGCCATTGCGATCTTATCATATATTTAGCGTCTGATATAATATGTGAAACTATTTGAATTGTGAAAATATTATACAGTTTAATCACTATGCATTAAATGTGTAAAAATTCTATGAATTATAGTTCAAATTTGGCCGTGGTCGCGAACGTGTTAATTGGATCACGAGTGAAGCTTCGAAAAGTTTCTGAACAGTTATCCTTTAGTCCAACGGATTACAGTAATTTTATTTGATTGAGGCAATGACCAGAACACCAGAACATTCAACGTGTTAATTGGCGTGTGATTGTATTGACGAATAACATGTTACTGTCAAAACTGCAAGAGGGGGCGTGCCTCCTTTCACTCTGACCAATTAGAGCTGCACTCCTTTCAGATGGCTTCTATCAACGCGTAATACATATGTATATGTATGTGTATCTGCCGATGATTTCTAGTTTCCTTATTTATTTACAGAAAGATTCTTGCGAACAACTGTGCCGTGATATCCGTAACACTGGTGAGCTATAAGAGTCTATCGATCGATTGATTTGAAACTGAAGGAATCCGACGCGAGCGTTAACGATTAAAAAATGATCGTTTGTTTTCAACGATAATGTTGTTTCCTTAAAATCGAATTCCGAAAAGACTTTCCAGATTAAATGCGTTTCAGTTGAACAGACAGACACGGCGTAGAACGAACCTTGATTAACCCTTTGCACTACGTAGTCACCACTGGTTTAGCAACGCAACTTTTCCCAAGAATTCTTGAGTCACCTCTGACATGACACACTTCATACGGTTAACAAACAGATTAAATATTATTTAATCGAGGTAATAGTATCACTAACAAATATTATTTAATTGAAATAATAATATCACTAACTGAAATAACAATATTCATAATATTCTACATAAAATAATATTCATGTCATAGTTGAAACTTAAAATAGCTGCGACCAATTTCTTCATATCCAACGTAAGGCATCAAAACCAGAAAAATGAAATCAGAGTTGACCGAGAAGACACTAAGAAAGCAATCATATTGCAAAGGGTTAACGCTGCTCAACGAACCTCCCCTTGCCCCGTCCACGAAATACCCTGTGCAATAAAATCCAAGACACCGTTCCTTCCCAATGAAAACCATGAACCAACGTACAGGTTCCAGAATGGAACTGCACGAACAACGTCGCGCTTAAATATACAATTTCTTTCTCTTTCTCCCTTTCTCTCACGCGCACTCACGCACTCACGCACATGCACATACGCATTCTTTCTTTACAAGAGACTGGTGTTCCGTTTCGCTTATCGTTAGCTGCACCAAACGCGATCTCGGATCGTCGTGGATCACGTTGGAACGGTTTAAACTAACGGAACTTTCATCGCGATCACGCGGAGTCTTCTGCACCCTTCCTAAAAGTATAGAGATAAGCTCTCGTCAGCCTGTGTCCACGTGTATACATACGTGTTCGTTATATTTCCGTAAAAAAGATTTATTACAAAACAATTAGAAGAGGCAGAGTTATATAAAATGCTTTCGTTAACTTTGGACAGGAGAATGTTTCTCTTTGTCTCCTCTCTGTAAAAATACGTAAAAACCGATTTTCGACTGATCCGGCTGCCATTCGAGCAACACCCCAACGCATTGACAATGAAAGAATCTTTGCCAAATGATTAAACCTCATCCTATTATACAAACCCGTGTGAGCGTCATTGTATGCATGGCATCTTGAAAAATGCTACTAGTCTCCGCAATTCGGTACAAAATATTTACTATATGTACATGCTTTCTCTCTACCTTTCTCTCTCTATCTCTCATTCTCTTCTTGTACGACTTTTACATATATATATCAACAACTTCTTTCCACCATTTCGGCCCGTCTTAATGACGTAGACCTAGCTGATTCCGTATACTAATTAATATCATGTACATTTACGCTATGGCTCGAACATTTGGAACATCCTTCGACCGCTGTATAATTCGATTCGTTTGATTACAGTGATAGAAACAGACTGCAGATTTTTATGCGTTTAACGTTAAATGCAAATCTGAGACGCACGACGAAATGTAAAATACAATTGGTTTCAATGCTGTTTGCACCCCAATGGTAACGCGTTAATATCATTGGCAGAGGGAAGCGAGTTTCTTTCAACGTCAGTCTTTGTAAATTACATCCAAGAAATTATAATTTTGCATAGAGATCCGCAGTCTGGTAATAGATTTATTACTGGGCATGACTTATGTACTGCTGACTCATGAATAGACCAACAGCTAAGAAAGAAGGAACTTGTCTATAGATGTAACTAAAAAATCGAACATCTTTCATTCCAAGGTCCGAAAGACACTCCGAAATTCTGAGCGATAACGTGTAGAATTAGGTCTCTATAACTCGTAAAGGAGGTTGGTAATTTGCAAAAGCTTTCATGTAAGTGCTCTAAGCAGCCCGTCTAATCAGTCTGTAACTTGTTAGGATTAATGAAGTGTATCAATCTCGAGTCACTTTCATAAAAGCTTCCCTCTTATATGATCAAGTCTTATCTATACATATGTATACTCGAAGTTATCCGCAATTAATAATAGTGTCTTGGCACATTTCTCCTAACATGTAAATATCATATTCATGTACGTATATATGTGTCTCAGTGATTTATCTGTGATATGTTTCTGTGTAGGTGTGTGAATTTAATTGAGGACATTGGGTGTTTCGGGGTTTACGCTATCACCAACGGTTCGTCGTCGGAAAAGCCTCGAATCACGGGGCTATCTTCCTCTTCTGAAAACAAGAAAAAATGATTAACCTGCGTAATTAATTTGAAATCGCATAAATCTGAATAATCAATAATTAAATATTGTGTAACAGTCATATTAGATGACTGTTATAGGTTACAAATGAGACTAACCCAAACCGTCTGCAGTTCCTGGGAAGGTCGCTTGCCCGCGTCTTGTATCATAATGGCTGTTGGCAAATTGTGTGAAACTCTTGGACAGCTTCTTGTGTCTCACTACAAAGTATGTCAACGCGGATCCCAGAGCAATAATGAGCAAACAGATGGGTATAGCAAAAGACAGAATGTTGGATGTACTTATTGCCACCGGCAACGCCAATTCTGAAACAGATATACCAGAATATAGATAGTCAATGACGAAGCAATATCGAGAATAATAGAAACAGATTTAAATAGTCCAAGTAATTACGGAATCGTTCATAAAGAATGATATAATTACCATCAGCAGAAGTTCTGATGCTAACAACTTCACTCAAAGGACTTTGATAGCCTTCATCGGAGACCAAACGAACTGCGAAACTGTAGATCACATTCGGCTTAACATCCCTGAAGTTGTACGATGGTTGATCAACCTTGATGACTTTAGCAATAGACTCGTTTATCTTGTTGGATCCTTCCGCCACCAAAATCTCGTAATGGTATTTTCCGTTCGTCAGACTTTCAGGCAGATTGTGTTCTTGCCAGAATATAATGTACTCTGATCCTTCAGAAATGACTTGAAGCTGATGCGGAGGCGATATCTCAGGTGCATTATAGAAAATCGGCTGACTTGGCTCAGCGTTTTCTACGTCTGTAGCTATTACGATGCAATACTTGCCGCCGTGCCTTATAGAACTGAATGTGTGTTTCATTATAGTTTCGTTCGTTGGTGGCAAGGTTACAACAAAATTCTTGTTACGTGTCATCTCGATTACAGTAATCTAGAGCAATACGGTTACATTAACTAACATACTCCTGTTAACTATTAAATGCCGCATTTTCATCAAAGAAAGAACACAAACCCCTGAATTCATAGCTTACCGTATACTTGATAGGTTCATAGATATCGTAACAACTGGCAGTCCACGCAATAATTATAGTGTCGTCCCTGTCTGATTTCAACACTCTTGGTCTCTTTGGTGGAGCACGTGCATTGAAACTCGTGAATACACCGATTGGCGGACACAGAGGACCAACACCGTACTCTCCATTAACTCCAACCGCGAACCAATATTGTTTACAAGCTTCCAGATTTTCGATCGTGACCGTCAGATTTGTTGTGAGTAGTTTGCGTTCTGTAACAATCATTTATAAATAATTCAAACAGTGTGCAACAGAGATCCGTTATTGAAGCCTGAAAATTACCATCGAAAACAGTCGCGAAAATGTTGCTATAATGAATAGCATACTGCCACTTGATCTTCTTCTCGGGTTCAGGTGGTTGCCACGATAAAGTTATAGGCGCATCTTGTTGCTTCACCCAGTGTGCGGTAAGGTTGCGAACCACTGGCAACTGTGTGCCCTGCGTGGTTGCGGATATGGTGGATGTTCTTCCAAAATAGTTCTTTCTAACTGCCTTCACTTCGAAAAAGTACCTGACACCGGGTGACAAATTCTTTACCTCTATTCGGTGCTGCGTTGTCGTAATCATTGGCAATTTTGGATACGAAAGACCATAGCTTGCTCTCGGTTTCACCTGATACTCGTCAACATTCTTAATCGGTTTCCAACCTAATTCAACGGAGTGATTAGTGGTCGCAAATATGAGCAGCTTCTCAATATAGTCAATGTTCACGGATCCATCGAAAGTTAACGTGGCCACGTTTGAGGAAGCCGACTCGTATTCACCGTTCCTGGCTATCACCCAGAAAGAATAATTCTTGCCGTCCTCGAACATCAAATCGATCACCGCTGGCGATTTTACCTTGAAGAACCGTACAGGCGGATTAGGCGGTGTCATGAAACCCTCGTAACCAATGATAGGTCCATTCGGATGCAAAGGAGGTAACCAATGCAGTTCCACACGAGTACCGTTGCCTTGTTTCACGGTGAGGTTTCGCGGTTCGGATGGGACACCTTTCCCTGTCATGACTATCAAGTATTTAGCTGGAGGGAACACCGTGGACTGTCCTTTCACCCTAACGTAGACCGTGACGTTGTAACGCGTGTACGGTTTCAGTTCGTTGAACTGATAGTCCATCTCCTCGATCCACTTGGTGGAGTTTGTCCAGTTGCCCGGTGGATCCGCGTACGCGATAGACGGTAGAAATTCGAAGGTAACATTCGCTGGGACCGGTATCAACCAGAACAAGAAGAGGCTGGTAGCATTCGTGGAACGTTCGTCTATTCCCATCACGAGTACCTGGTAAACACGCGAGTTGTTCTTGTCGCAGTTATTCTCGTCGAAGCCATCTAAGCATTCCGGATTACCGTCGCAGAAAGAGGCCAACGGGAAACAATTGACCTCGTCACAGGGGAACAGGCCAGGATGACATGATGGCGTTGCAGGTGTAGAGTGCTGTTCGCTGGAGCAGCCCAGTTCATCGGTTTCATCAGGACAATCGATCTCACCGTTACAAACGGCTGCTATAGGTATGCAACCGCCAGATATCCGACATTTGAACTGCCCCTCGTTGCATTTGCCCTTATCGCCAACACAGCGCAGCTCGTCTTCTCCTGAAGGGCAATCGTTTGTGCCGTCACAGACCCAAGCATTCGGTATGCAAAACCCGTTCATACATTGGAACCGATTCTCCTTACAAACCTTAGGCTGCACAGTGACATCCACGATCGCTGTAGTGGTATCCGTATCTTCAGGGTTTCCGCAACCGAATTCGTCGGAGTCGTCGCCACAATCGTCTACGCTGTCGCATTTCCACCAGTAAGGCACGCATTTCTTATTAGCACACATGAACATCCAGTCGTTACAGGGGCTAGTCGGTAACGCCGGATTCACCGGGACCACTGTCGCTGGCGTTCGACTTGAATTACCGCAGTCAACTTCATCGGAGCCATCCGGGCAATCCTTATCGCCGTCGCAAACGAATGACTTGTAAATACACCTGCGATTCCCTTGAAATAGGTTACAAGTAAACTGCCAATTCTCGCATACGATCCTACTGCAGTCCGTCTCGTCCATGCCATCTTCGCAGTCAACCTCGCCGTCACATTTCCAGCCTGTGGGTATACAAGTGCGTTCGTGTTTGCAAAGCATTTCGTCAGACCTGCAGGTGTTGTTGCGCGCTACATCGCCGGGTTCGGTCTTGCAGAACAACTCGTCTGAAAAGTCCTGGCAATCGTATTCACCATCACACACCCATCTCTGTACTATACATCTGCCACCATCGCATTTGAATAAATTTTCGGGACAAGTCGAGTACTTGCAGTTCATCTCGTCGGTACCGTCTCTGCAGTCCTTGTCTATGTCGCATACCCAAGCCGGAGAGATGCATTTGGTGTTGTTATCGCATTCAAAGTTCGGGAAGCAAGACTTTCGGGGACAGTTGAGCTCGTCGGAACGGTCGCCGCAATCATTATCTCCGTCACAATGCCAGAACTCCGGAATGCACACGTCGTTGTTGCAGGTGAACTGATTCGCTGCGCATGTACTCGCCACCCGTGGACACGTGAAGTTCGGATTGGGAGTGACACCTTCCGGACACATACACTTGCCGTCAACCATCTCCATACCGTCTGGACAAAGACAGGAATAGCCGTTCTTCGGTGCTCCGACACAAATGTACGGGCAGGTGCTGTTTGCGCATGCATTCGTACCCTGTTGGATACTATGCGCGAATACCTTCAGATCCATCAAACCAGTCAACTCGCCTATGATCGCGTAAATGCCGAGACCGTGATCTTTGTCCGCAACGAATATCATTGATTGCTTCCAGTCATCCCAGTACATGCTGTCTTTGAACACTGCGACGGCGAATGGGTGTGACACCCGCTCGTTGTTCGAAATTACCTTCTTGAACTTCTTGCCGTCGAAGTCGCTAGATCCAATGTAATCCTGCTGGGCATCTACCCAGTAGATACGCTCAGCTATGTGATCTATCGTTATCCCATTCGGCCACTCCACAGTCGGTTCCACAAACAATCGTTTCACTTCTGTCCCGTCCAGATTGGCACGAGAAACTGAGGCGTTGTCTGGCGCCCAATCAGTCCAGAACATGTACCCGTTCATCGGATGGACTGCTATGCCCCTCGGCTTCCGAAGATTATTAGGCCCAAGGATAGTCCTTCGCATTCTTCCCATGTTGGATATGTCTGTTCTGATCACCTGGATTCTCATTTTAACACCGTCGACGAAGTATAGGAGATTGGAGACCCAGTCGAACGCCATTCCTTCGATGGAACTCAGATCGGTCTCAACTAAGATCTCCGGAGCGTTCGTACCATTAAAACACTGTCTACCGATCGTGTCATTTACAATGTCGGCCCAGTACAGGCAATTGTTTTTCATATCGAAATCAATTGCTATAACGTTCTTCAAGTCGTGGACAGGTAACTTCTCCAGATTCTCTTCCGCCAAATCGATACGCGATATATGCTCCCGTTGGGCTACCAATAAGAATTGCGATACTTCGCCTATGGGACACGGGATCTCGTCCGGTTCGAAGTTTCTTGCTGAACCACCGACACACTCATCGTCGGATATCTTTACATAGCCCTTGGTTCGATTGTAAAACTCGCCGGGTTTACAAGTGCTCGGTATGGCATAAGGATCGTACCAGAACATAGATTTGTTACGGATGCACATGGACGGATTACCCTCCCGCATGAATCCAAAATCGCATTGATAGTCGTTAGATTCGCACTGACATAAAACCGTTCGAATTGGCCGAGTGTAATCTACGCCGGTGTAACAATTCGCCCATGTGGCTCGCCTGCGATAGATCTCCTTCCTACCTAACCAGCATGATATCTCCGATTGATCCCAGTGCAATGGATACCAGAATTTAAAGTCTTCATCGGTACAGTTTTTCGCGAATACATTCCGCAAATCAACTTTGATTATAAGCCACTGATGCTGACCACTGTCCGAGCCGAACATCGTGAATACCGTAGTGTTCTCACCCGGCTCGGTCATTAATCCATACACCCTCAACATTTTCTCGTTGAATGTATACGTTTGCCAATTCTCGCCTTCATCAATAGAATAAGAAAGATCTCTTGTTTCACCGCGCGATTTAAAATACTTCACGGCTACCAATAAACCACCATGGTCGCCCATGTTAAAGAAGTAATAATCCTTCAGAACCTGTTTCCACGTTATTCCAGCGTCTCTGGACACGTAGAGTGCAGGATGACCCTTCAGACTCGATCCTATAACACCAGTGGCCATTATAATACCCGGTGCCGACTTTGAACTCATGATTGACACAGATCTAGTCACAGGGTACAACTGACTGAAACGTTGACTTAAGTGCAACGAACAATTTTTCATGCAATGTATATAAAATCCTTCGTGATTTGCAGTCGGTGTACTGATGGGATTCCATGTCGAACCGTGATCGAATGTTATCAATGACACTAAATGCTCTGGTCCGATTGTGCCTGATTTGGGTGTGCCCTTTACTTGAGACACTATGTAGATACCTCGAAGACCCTCCACTTTGTACAGGTCAGTAAACGTGTCGTCGGCCACGTCACTGAAAAGAACAAGAAAATGTGTGAATATAAAGAATAGGATCCTGGTTGAATAAGAAGGATACATTTCAAATACTTATTCAAGTATCACAATATCGACTTACTTTAACCAACTGTCTTTCCAGGTACTGTTGGGGAAGAACGTCATAATTCCTTCGAGTGATAAGACGAACGTTGCTCGTTTTTCGTCTATAATCTCTGATACATACAGGTTTACTTGAGTTTCGTTATGAGCAACTGTGACAAAGATCCTATTATAGGAAACGTCGACAATGTGGTAATTTTTACGAGGCAAGTCCGTACTAAATTCCGCCTTCACGAAACTATTATTCTTGTAAGACACGTACAGATCCAGATTCTCGTGTTCACTCTGTTTAAAAGCAAATTACCTTAACATAGACGCAACTAATTTGAACTGCGATTAAAGTAATATATAAATTGCAAATAAACACGTAATGTACCTTTGTATCTTTCGACGTTGCGAATCTATAATCACCTTTCATCTGAAAATCTTCAACATTTGTCATCACAACTGTCAATGATTCGTTTAATGATCCCTTATCTGGTCCAACCTTGAGCAATCTATCGATAATGTGTGTCCACGGTAATTCTAAAACGGTATTTGATCCAGAAGGCGACATTCGTTCGATTACTACTACAGGCGAAGACGACCAAAAGAATGCTTTCACATAGAGACATATTGGAACCCAAGTGATTCCCATGTTCATCGATAACCATAACTAAATTGAAACAAGAACCCATTGATACAATAGTAACATGCACACATACATACACATTGAGAACATATGTAATTAAAGATTCAGAATCTCACTTTGCGTTCTGGATCTTTTTTATCAAGAGCAAGAAGAGCTCTAGGGTCTGTCTCAGAAAAGGAAATTTCACTTGGATTAAATGGAAGTGCAACCCTTTGAATAATCTCTCCATTGTTGGGTGTAAGAAAAAGTAACTTATTCGCACTGTCCACAAAAATACACTGGAAAATGCAATATGTTATTAATAATATGAGTAATAATGGAGAATTAGTTAAGAGAAAACAAATACTTGTTAAACATAAACTCACATATATATAATATTTTGGATGGTTCATAAACTTATCCAATGTTGCATATTCTGCATTGGGCTCGGAAGAGACTCTAAAGTGTTCAGTTTTGTTTATAAATGTATCTCCATAATCATAACTTATATAAACAGCACTGGGAATGGGAACGTTGGTGAATTTACTTCCCTGATGTCGCAGTATTTGCAAATTATCCCTTGCTAAGCATATTATTACATTAGATCCATCTCCGACCCAGTGCACCATCAATTGCTGATGAGAATCATTTAAAGCATTAACCTGCAAAGAAAAATACACTGTGCTATTTAAAAGTTAAATTGATTATTAGGACTACTAATCCATACAACTTTTATCATTTCATATCATTATTGCAGTCATTAATTATTGTTTTTGTTGACTGTCAAAGGTATCAAAAGGAATCAATCATAAATGTAGATAAAGACAAACTGATAATAATTATCAAAAACACAGGTATATGTAAGAAAAATACGGTGACACTATTGTGACATTTTTATAACTATTATTTCCTGCATTTGTTGACATATGGTCACAAAAACTGTATATGTAGTATATCTACATAAAAAGAAAACATGGTAAAACAGTTTTTATCAAAAGTATACAAATAGGTATAACAGATGACTCATAAAATGCTTATATCTCTTATAAAATCTGTGTGACTTCATACTAACATGATCACTTTAATTATACACTATTTCTGTTCATTCCGAATTATATAAAACAGAATTACCTAAATATTTCAGAATATATATTTTTCTTTTTCTTTATTGATTAGTAATTTTATAAATATGCAATACAATTATGATTTATTAACACATATCAATATAAAAATACGTTTATTGTATTTATTTTTAAGACAAGCATCAACATTAATTTGGAATAATATGGTTCATTTTATCAATACAGAACACTGACACATAATACATATTTCTTATCACTCAACGAAAGTATTTTTGTCCATGTATAACTTTACATTTCATTGTGTTCAGGGGCACGTACCTATGACTAATTGTCACGCTCTGCTGTATCATCAGAACATTATTCTACAAATATCATTTATGATACTGATGGAGTTCATAGAATTGTAGCTTCGCGATTCCTTGTCATTTGTTGTCTCATCAAAACATAAAGATATAATTTTAATGCCACATCCTTGTTGTAAACAAGTTCCATTTCAGTTCAAAATAATGAGATGCAATTCCTTTAGAAGAGATAACCAATACGGGACAACCTAATGCGGAAAGTTTCCCTGACCTTTCAAGCGTTGATACAAGAAAGGTCAATTTATCTAAAGAACAGGGAAATCCCCGAAATTCTCGTGTTGCAATATACGCTTCGATCAAAACAGGCCTTCGGCGCTGTTCTCAGCCGACGCATCGTAAAAGAATTAAGCTGCCGCTCGTAGATAACAATCAACTGATCCGTAAGTTCTTTAAAACGTAAAAGAGGGAATAAAAGAAATAATAAATAAAAACGGGAAAAAAAGAAGAATGTTGATCGCAAAATAAAGAACCATTCGAGGCGGTTACTGACCTCTGCATGTCAATAACAGAACGACTGTGACGCTACGGTGCGTTTCGTCAAGATTGATTAAATTTAGTCCGGAAGGGACATAATACGGCAATTACGGGCTACTCTGGTCGGCGCACAAAGGCCGCATTTGTACGCTGGCCTTATTAGCCGTTGTATAAAATTCTGTAAATCACTGGTGGTATCTCGCGCGAGCATAACAAGTCTGTGGCAGAAGATAAGGCGACAAAAACAAAACGCAAATTATGCGGGAAACTGGTTGATGGCATTTCTGTTTGTACGGCTCGTTCGTTACGATTAGCCTGTACAGACGATGACTGTACCGGAAAAATTTGCGTACCTTCGTTACGATGTGTGGATCATTTGCCGGATGTTCTGGAGGAACATCTCTGCGACTTCGACTCGATGACGTTTCGCTGGCATCATCATCGTGCAAATGCTCGTCCCGATTGATGACAACTGGCTGTCTGCCTTTGAACGGATGGTCGTCCTCGACGATGTGAAGTGTGGTCGCCTTGTCACCGTACCTCAGTCCATTATTCAAACTTGTTAATAATGTCAAATGTAAAACAATCGCGGAATAACGAAAGGCCGAACTCATCCGGCCGGCCATCTTGCTCAGACTGACTTTCTTTAATGACCAATTACGCGTATATATGCACTGAGAAATATACGCGGTGTCCTGAAAACAGGTATCGGTTATAACAACGACGCCATATCAAATAAAGTGGTTGTAAAAGATGTATCGATCGTTCGCAATCGATTGCCCGGAATATAGACGATAAATGAAATATTAGTCAGTTTAATAAATGTCAGGAAAATGGATGTTCATCGTTTGATAGATTCGATTCAATCTATTAAAAAGTAATTCGTGATTCCTAGGGATGCTAATAAAAACTGTTAACGTCCTTTAATTATGCAATGTATTATATCAGTCAATCGAATTCTTGTGATCTGAGTAAGAAACGTGTACAATAGAAAGCCGATAAGTGGAAATTACTTTAGTTTCGTCAAAGTATGCGAGGATTTCTTGTACACATTATATAAAATGTGCGTTTCCATGAAGCGTCCACAAGTCGCGCCAATTGCAACTGATGTACTGATGACCAAAATGGTTGTATGGTTAACTCTACTCAAACAATGCGACACTCGACAAAGGAAATGGAAATGTTCTAACATGAAGAATGTCTACAAGTATAAAATACGATACCGGAAGCAACTTTGTTCTTGGATAATTATAATGATAAGATTTTATCACAGGAAGCAATAAGATCGTTAAACTTGCTGCATTTGAAGGCAATGTTACATGAGGTTAAAGTATCTGATCTATCTTCACTTGCGCGCCACCACTCCTTAACGTTCGTACTACAGTCCGGAAATATCCTTTGTGCTCGTATACGATCGCTCAAATAACATATGGTTATTAATTTGTTAAATATTCAACGTGATCGAAACATAGAATGTATGTATGATTTATAACTTCGCGTTACACGTTTACTTTCATCTTCTTCTTACCTACGAATTTTCTTTTTAACGTCAGAACATCAAAACGCTGCAAAAAAGGAGCGTTTTGCTAACTAATCTGGAAAATTAAAAATGTTATAAATAGAGTTCCTTTTTCACGTGAGAATTGTATAATCTGACAGAGATAAATGTGAACTCTTCGACACTGTAATTTTGAGTACCATATTTTTTTGTAGTACTCCGATTTTCGGAGTTTGTGTTGAACTCTACTTCTTTAACATTTGACTTTTCAAAATTAGAGTGAAGAACGATCCATTTTTGCGCGTTGCCAAGTAACTTTATCGACTTCTTGATGCAAATGAATTTATCAGTTTGTAACTTTGTCCTTATTTCTCGGGGTAAATACGGACATTACAATAGTAATTAAACCTGATAATTTATTAGTAAAATAGAGGAGCTGGGCAAAGTCGTCTATCATAAGTGGCCTTTATTTATTTTAAAATACATGCGATAAATACTAGAACATGATATACAATATGGTACGTATACGAAACGATAATCTACTGTTTCAACAAAGGGACTGCAAACTGGTTCAAAGTGATCACATAAAATAGTTTCAACCAAGTTGTGGCATCGCGCAAATCTAAGGTGTCCATGTCAGATGACTAGGTCGTTTTTCTCTATTACACATTTGGCGAAGGAAAAATGATGAAAAATGATGGACGGAATAATGACGAGTTGTTATCAGATAGAACAAATCGAGATACTAACGCAATCTTAAATGGAAAGTATATTTTGAAGATATATGAAAGTATATAGATTCTTAAGTAGGTATTACATTTAATCATTGTTGAATGTAGAATTTTTAATTAAAATTTGACTTTTTACCTACATGAAAAACAAAAAGGATAAAAGGAAAGATTGTTGCACCTCTCGTGGCGAAATAGGTAAAACGGATGTGAAGACTACCAGCTTGCACGTTTTATTGTAGATGGTGCTACAACTCCTGTTAATGTTCTTTATCGTAGCTTACAAAAAATTTAATATTCTATTACATACGACATTGTATTTATTCAATAAAAACTGCACTGCATTATTGCGATGTATTGCATATTTAAGATATGTTCATCGTCGTTTTCATCTACGGATTTCCGAAATCTTTCGAATGGAGAACTCTTGCCAGATATTAGATTTACAATAAAACGAGATTAATCCTGGTAAACCGTGATTGAATCTAATTGTAGTTTAAATACACGTACGTACTGTCGCTTGCACAGTCATAATAAATGAACCGAATAATCTCATTTTAATTAGTACGATAGAATTGTAATTGCAGAAATGATTCAGTATTTCAGAGTTAAAGAGAACATTCTACAGATCGATGATCCAATATACTTTGTCGAACCCATCACTGTACAAAACAGTTTATAATGATTTATAGATTGTGGATAACCAATTATCTCCGATAGCTATTGTTTTATATTTTTTTTCAGGGAAATACCAAGATATGTCACTATCCAACAGAAAATTGTAATGCCGCTGTAACTACTTACACGGTGAAAGCTCCAAGTTTTAGTAATATAGACATAGCCTACACACACAATCTATAAACATATATATATATATATAATATTTAAATATTTACCTTGGCAAGTTAGATACATTACCTCGTGCACACTGCAAACAAGATTTAAGGAACTTTCTATAAAATATTAAATATTATTTACCGGGTATATGCGTCGTCATTCGTTGATCTTTGGCATTGGATTATTAGATGCTCACAAACATGGTATTTGAATAGAAATGATAAAATTTGGAAATATTCTCTTAAAAAATGATACACATTATATAATCTTAAGCAGAATTTTTAAATTTGTTCGAAATTTTGTACAGTTGTCGATACAATTCACACTAAAAATAACAACAGCATTTATCGTAACGTTCACAGAACGTGCTAGGTATGAAATAACATTGAGATAGCATGAATCGAAGCGTCCTTGCCTGTATAATTATCGGTAGCAGTCAATAGAAAAGAATTGAAAATCGTCGTTGGGGGAGTAAGTACCTACTTTAATGGCGGCTCTTGAACGTAATAATAAAACTACATTAGATAATGGGTTTCATTTCCTGGTGGCACGAACAGATCTCTCTCTTGAACTGCGGCGTTACGCACAAAACAGAGTAACACGATAAAAATGAGTTTTCCGAAACCAACAAACGTTTTTTTTTCCTTCTAAAAAATCCATTATCAGAAAAGACATGTAACATCACATATTTTCTCAGGAATTGCGGAAAGGGTTATTCCGTACACGAAGTACCATCGACTGGTTTCACAATCATCATATATTATCTATTATAATAATTTTTATTTCTTATAATTTACTGATCTTCATTATTTATATTTATATATATATATATATATATATATATATATATATA